ATGAAAATGAAACTCGGGAATGTAAACAAAAAAATTGCACTGGGAAGCAAAGTAATAGAACAACAGTAGAAATACTATAAATAGTTATCATTTGTGTGTAGTAGAAATATATTCCACTAAACTGCAAAATCAAAATAGTCGCTAATGACACACCACAGATGCACAAAGAAATAAGGACAAAATTGAAATTAAAGAGAAAAACATACAAAAAATATACAGTCAACACAGGCTGAGAAAAGAGAATGCAAAAAATGTTTTAAAAACTTGGAGAAAACATAGCAAGACTACAATATTAACTTGTCATGAAATATAAAAAGAAATGGTAAAGTGTCCTACAGTCAGGAAAAAATAGAGAAAATACAGCTTAGTGATAGGCCAGGAAGGAATACTCATGATGAGTTTACAGCTATTAACAAAATAAAGAAAATTCAGCATAACGATAGGCCAGGAAGGTATATTCAAGATAAGTTCACAGTTATTGACAGTGAAATGTATTCACACATGTTAAAAGAAGTTAGCAGTACTTCTATGTTTTAAAATCAAGGTAAAGTAAGACCAATTAGCTTAGCGTTGGTGGTAAGAAAAGTACTGGAAACCTTATTCATGACAATAAAGGCTATTCTATTATATTCTGATAGAAAAACATCTTGAAGCTGAACACACAATAACGAAGTTGTCATGAATTTCAAAAGTAAGGCAATCTTTTACAAATCCTGCTGATTTCTCTGAAGATGTTATAGACAAGGGTTGACATAATACATTGGTGTTTAAAAGGTCTTTGCTAAACAGTCTCGTGACGAAGGTCAGAACATATGGTGCCATGAGACAAGTGGAATGGATGACAGGCAGACTGAAAATCAGTGAAGTGAGTAAAGGTTAAGTGTAGTTACTCAGATTGCAAACAATAGCAGTATTGATGACACCTTCCATCTCTTTACTGATGATCGAAAGTGGACTGATGGGGGCAGTAATTGGCTGGGTTGGATTTGTTCTGTTTTTTAGGTACAGGACACACCTACGCAATTTTCAACATTGTCTGGTGGATGCCAATGTTGTAACTTTATGGAAGAGCTTGGCTAGGGGAGCAGCATGTTCTGGAGCACAAGTTTCCGGTACCATTGCTGGAACGTTGTCAGTGCCAATAGCATTTGCAGCATCCAGTGTCTCCAACGGTTCCTTGATATCACATGAAGTGAATAGAATTGGCTGAAGACTGGTATCTGTAATGCTGGGGACCACTGGAGGAGGCCAAGATGGATCATCCACTCAGCATTTCTGGTTGAAGACTGCTGTGAATGCTTGAGCCTTATCTTTTGCACTGACGTGCTGGGCTCTTCCATCATTGAGGATCGGGATATTTGTGGAGACTCCTCCTCCAGTGAGTTGTTTAATTGTCCCTCCCCGTTCATGACTAGATGTGACAAGACTGCAGAGCTTAGATCTGATCTGCTGGTTGTGGGATTGCTTAGCTCTGTCTATCACTTGCTGCTTATGTTGCTTGGCTGCAAGTAGTCCTGTTTGGTAGTTTCACCAGGTTGACACCTCATTTTCAGGTATGCCTGGTGTTGCTCCTGATATACACTCCTGCACTCTTCATTGAATATGGGTTGATTCCCTTGCTTGGTGGTAATGGTTGAGTGGGAGAATATACTAGGCCATCAGGTTGCAAATTTATTGGAATCCAATTTTGCTGCTCTTGATGGCCCACAGCACCTCATGGTGAGTCTTGAGTTGTTAGATCTGTTTGAAGTCTGTCCCATTTAGCACAATGATAGTGCTACACAACACAATGGAGGTTATTCTCAATGTGAAGGCAGGACTTTGTCTGCACAAGGGCTGTGCTGCATTCACTCTTACCAATACTCTCATGGACAGATGCATCTGCAGCTGGCAGATTGGTAAAGATGAGGTCAAATATGTTTTTCCCTCTTGTTGGTTCCCTCACCAGCTGCTGCAGACCTCATCTGGTAGCTATGTCCTTTAGGACCCGACCAGATCAATCAATAGTACTGTTGCCGAGCCACTCTTGGTAATATATAAATAAAGAAATATACTTAATATATAAACTCGCATAATAATTGACTTCATGTAATAAAGGCCTTGTATTTTCGGGGATTAAAGCACAACAACTTTAAAACCAAAGTTTAATCCTGGAGATGAGATACATAAAGTTTGTAATGTTATAATACGGATCGTGATTAGATAGTCATGTGGGTGAAAAAGTAAATAGTTTCTGAAGTTATAAAATAAATAAATGTTATTATTTAATGTGGATTATTTTGTGATGCTGGTTATTGCTTTATTCCACTGTGATAATCTTTTCTGGATTCACTTGGGCCTAAATCAGGCATGTAATCTGGCCCCTTGAAAACATGGCCCTATAAAATAATAAAATGTGGAACCAGAAGTTGAATACTTAAATTTGCAGATTGCACCAAACTGGGGGCTAGCAAGGATGTGGAGGCTGTAATTAATACAGAGGAGGTCAGTGCCAAAATGAATATATTAATAAACACGGAAATGCTGAGAATATTGAGTTAAGGATCAGCATAACCTTGTTACATGTCAGAGAAGGCTTTGGGGGCCAAATAATGCACCAATGCACTGGAAAATGTCAGCACTTTCTGTTTTTATTTCAACTTCAATACTGAATAGATGATTAGAAGGTGGTACATTTTGTTAGGAAGAATAAATAGGCCAAATATACCTTGCAAAATAAATATCTAATTGGGATGTAAAAAAGATGGATTCAAACACACAAATCACTTAAAGTAGCAAAGTACATTAATTAGGCTTTAGCAAAGCAATCAAAGCATTGGGATTTATTTCCTGGAAGGACAGAATTGAAAATCGGAGAAGTTATATTAACTTTATATAGAACCCTTTCGAGATCACAAGGTGTACAATGATTAGAGATAGTAGGAACTGCAGATGCTGGAGAATCCGAGACAACAAGGTGCAGGGCTGGACGAACACAGCAGACCGTGATTAGTTCTGGACACTATATAATAAAAGGGAATATCAAAGCAGTGGAGAATGTGAAAAATTATTTACTAGGATGATACCAGAGTTTAGAAGTTACACCCATCAAGAAAACAAGAAGGCTAAAGGTCACCCAGCGGAGGCCCCTTTTAAACTCTGAATTTGCTTCATAGGGTAGGTGCTGAATATAGACAAACCTAGGTTCTGAAAAAATGCCCTCTGAAATGGCCACAAAAGGGATTTAAGCTCAAACATGGTTGAGTTTGTTTTTTTTTTCTCAACTTAGTTAAAGAGTTGAAGCTACTGCTGTTTTCATTGGTTGGAGATTCTCGAATTAGAGGCCATAGTCAGAGAATTAGGGCTAGACTATTCAGAAGAGATGTTAGGAAGAACGTCTACACTCAAAGGGTGGTAGGTGTTTCAAAGTCTCTTCCACAAATGGCAGTCGATGCAGGATCGGTTGTTAATTTTAAATTTGGGATGGACAAATGTTTAAGTAAAGTTGTTAAGGGATATGAGCCAAAGATAGGACGATGGAGTTAAGCCACAATCAGCCATGTTGTCATTGAATGGTGGTAAAGGCTCGAGGGGCCGAATAGCCTACTCCTGTTCCTACATTTCATATTATTCCTTGCAAACGTGAACAATTTATAGTGCTCCAAACAACATCGTGGATTTGTACAATCATAGCGACAGTCAGAAGAAATCTATCAACAACTAATCGGAAAATAACTGATGACGCCTTTAAATAGTGGCATTGGAACTGTGTGTGGGGTATGGAGGGGTTGGCTCCTGCTTCTGAATTTAATATGCATGATTGAGGGCGAGCATCAGACCGAGAGGCGAGTTCCTAATTAGTATCAAACTCGTGTTATTTGGTGACTAACGCCACGATCTGCCCGCATTCACGCTTTCGCTCGGATGGCACACCCTCCAACATTTCCCAACCTCTAAGGTCATGATTGTGTCAAGAAGGCACCTTACATCCAAATTCGGCGCAGCCAGCCTTTCACACATGTTGGCGCTGCACCCATTCTCAACTTAATACTGCCGCCTTTCCCAAAACTATCGGATTTGTAACATTGTTTCTGTCTCTACAGATTCTGCCAGACCTGCTGAGTTTCCCAGCCCTTCCTGTTTGATTTCTGCCCACCCTTTCCCGCTGGCTGTATGAAAGCTATTTTATCCCAGAACATAAAAGGAAGTCAAAAAAAGTTTGAGATAGCAAGAACTGCAGATGCTGGAGTCAAGAGATAACAGAGTGTAGAGCTGGAGGAACACAGCAGGCCAGGCAGCATCAGAGGAGCAGGAAAGTTGACGTTGCGGATCGGGACCCATTTTCTGAAGAAGGGTCCCGACCCGACCCGAAACGTCAGCTTTCCTGCTCCTCGGATGCTGCCTGGCCTGCTGTGTTCCTCCAGCTCCACACTTTGTCATCTCCAAAAAAAGTGTGAATTGTTTACATGCTAACAGATTAAAGTTAGCCAGTGGTATTTTGGTGCTATATTACGGCACTTCGGCGATGATGTATTTGTGACGGGAGGGGGGGTACAGAAAGGAAACAATTCCCTTTCAACCATAAACACGTTTAAGTTTTATGGGAAAGGATATGTAAAGTGCATGCAAAACAATGCCTTTGTTACATTCTTGCATAAGAGTATGTGGACAGACAGGGAGAACAGAGGTGCTGTGCTGCGAGCGGGCTTGAATTATGCACTGCCCGTGGTCGGTGAAACAATAAAATAAAAGGCTTTGCAAAGGCGCTGGGGCTGCTGTCGGTATAAAACACGGTGCTCTGCCGCTGCGTCCTTGCAGACGGTCGAGCTGCTGCGAGCGAGGAGCAGCTCTCTGTGAGGTGGGCGGGCAGCAGTGGGAGAGCGCGGCGCTGATTGCTGGAGAGTTCGGTGATTGACAGCGGGCAGAGGCGGGCCAGCCAGTGAGGAGGGCGCCAGTGGCGGGCACGCTTCAGTTGCCTGTGATCTCTCTGCCATCAATAATTTACACAAGGACTAGGCGCAGCGCTATGTATTCATTTGTGCGTCTTCTTGTCAGGGCCCCTTCTTACACTTCAGGGGTCATTTAATTCCAGCTATAAACGAAGAAAGCGAGAGGGAGAGGCAAGCACAAAGCCAGAAGAAGGTGAGCTTGCAGAAAATAATAAAGCAACATTTGAAAGAAAGAAAAAGCGCACACATACACACAAAGAAGGGGATAAATCAGAGAAACTCTCAAGGAGAAGCGACGAAAAGCTGGATTCGATCAGGAGATAAGGAGCAAGCAGCACCTTGTGGAAGTCGGCGGTCGCTCGTCATGTTGGAGTTGCTGTTCGGTTTGGTTTGGTTTGCGGGACTCGTGTGCGGCCAGAATGAGACAGAGCCCATCGTCCTGGAGGGCAAGTGCCTGGTGGTTTGTGACTCGAATCCCACCTCGGATCCTACAGGGACTGCACTCGGGATTTCCGTGCGATCCGGCAGCGCCAAGGTGGCTTTCTCGGTGATCAGGAGCACCAACCACGAGCCCTCCGAGATGAGCAACAGGACCATGATCATATACTTTGACAATGTAAGTGGGCGATGGACGGACGCTGCTTTTTTGAAGGACCGCTGTTATTTTGATTGACGGAAGGGATAGCGTGCTTAACCATGTCTCAAATGCGACATGCTGTATCCCCCAAGGTCAGTTCTTAGGTACTGTAGCTGCTTGACCATGTCCAGGCTCAGAACTCGGCTCCGTGGTGCAATATAGCAAGCAGAATGGGGAATGAGAAGTCAGAGTTGGAGGAAAGTTGCGGTACATATTTTCAGATTGCATGGGAGGGACAGCGGGATGGGAAAATACGAACGAAATGATGCGTCCGGGGAAAAAAAAAACAAAGCCGCAAAGAAGATGAAGCGGGTTAAGGGACAGGGGCTGGTCTCTCCAAGGGACACACATATAACCAGAGGACCACTGAAGGGGAAACGGGAATGCAGCGCACTTAAATGTGAGAAAATAGAAATTACAACAAAATGTCTTTACAAATAGAAAGAAGTTAATCATGTAGATGGAATTTAACTAAATCGATGTCTGAGACAACTGAAGACGCTGATTCTTATGGTTCTCACAACTTCGTAATCTTGTGAGCTCTGTCCCATTCTCCCTTCATTCGCGCTACTCTTAAACATTCCGTTTTGTTTTAGGTAGTTGACTAAACCGCCCGGGTTTGCTGACACAGTTTCTGTCTGATTTCAGATACTAGTGAATGTGGGTTCTAATTTTGACTCGGAGAGGAGCACCTTCATAGCGCCACGGAAAGGAATTTACAGTTTTAACTTTCACGTCGTAAAAGTGTATAACCGGCAAACGATCCAGGTTAGTAGATTTTCCCACACTTTATCGAATACGTTCACTTCTCTGCCGCTTTCAGTCTTTTGCTCTCAAGAATGTGGGAGTTGCATGAAAACTATTCAGCCATTCCTTCCTCGTGTCATCATTAAATCCTTTAGGAGCCCAAACGCTTTCTGTTACCGAAACTGCAAGCAAAATGATTAACGGAAGCTTATATGATCTCCAGAGAAAGACCTGGAGAAGCGCGGATTGAGGAATGTAGACATTTTTTTCGCATTCAGTGTCTGTTTGTCCACTTAATGAAATGCTGATTTCACACTACTTGGAAATAGACCTTAAAAGATTTGGAAATGAAAGGTTTATTAAAGGTTGGATATTGTTGTAAACAATACAAACGACGAGCGTCCGATAACGACTTATGACCAGCTCAGAGGGAGGGCCGAGTGATGGCTAAATCATTAATTAAATGGGGCAGTTTTTTATTCTTAGGATGGAGGAAACAAATATCAAACAACATACCTGACGGTTCTGACTCTGGATAATAATAATGGAAGGGATCTCAGGAGGGGGTTGGGTGAAGGGTTCCGTTATCATCCACAACTCCTGAGGGCAGGACTCCGCCTCCTGTTCACCCTCACTCTTTCATACTTTTAAGCACTGCCCAACCTTCCTCCCCGCCCCCACCCCGCTTGAGTTACTGGTGGAAAAAAAGAGTGAAAGTGTCACAGCAAGACTAGCAAATTTTGCTTCCAAAATTTAAAAGCGTCCAAATTGTACTTTGTGTGTAAATATTGGAATTAGGTGGGAAAGTATTCGAGGTTTCTGTTATTTGGTCCCATCATTCACTCCAGGATAACGGCGGCCCAATATCGGCCTTTTAACAGTTCTTTACATGTGGTACCCACTCACAACGTCACAGAGAGGACAGGAGGCTAAAACAGTAAAATTGGGGGAAGCATGGGGTGAAAACCAAGTTCTGTTTTAATTCAAAGAAAATGTAGAAATGGATTATTTTTGTATGTAAAACATTCGAGTTATTTTACCAACAAGAAAAATCGAATTTCTTTTTCAATCAATGACATGATGTGTAGTTGAGGCCTGTTTTCAGGTAAGTAATTATCGACCACCCGTGGTCGCTATTGGATGGATACGTGCATTATATCTGGCATATTATAGACTGAAAAAATACAGTTGCTATTTTGAGAAATGCATTTATTCGCTCAGTTTTGAGGTATGTTTGCTTACCATTGTTTGCAGTATTGTTAATGCATTGTAACTTAACCACATATACCATTATCAATAATATGCTGTATTTAATATTGGAGTAAAATAAAACTGACCATACACAACACAGTCGGTGACAAATCACCACACATACTTAACGTTCGGTTTCTATGAAAGAAATAGTGTGAAACACGGGAGAATGTTCCTGGTGCATTGAACAATTCTCTTATTTGTGTTTAAGAGAGCATTTCATTAAAACGCTATACTAGGCATTTTATTCATAAAACAAATTTTAAGGATTTATTTTAAGGAATGATAAAGAAAGCCTGTCAGTGGTGGAGGAGTAGAATAGAGACAGAACATTATGGCAGGATACGGGAGGCGCAGCTACAATTCCAAGAGGTTAATATTGAGCTATTGGCTTCTCAGAGCTGAGGAAAGGTAACAGCTGAACAGTAAAGTTGTGATGCCCTTTCGGATAAACACGGACTTGCTTGTCAGGAACTTACGTAGGCGAACCATCTAACATTAATTTATTAATGATATATTTTATGATGAATTTTCAGATAACCTTTGCAATAGCGTCGCGTTTAAAGATCATCTCACTAATGCTATAAACGGTGTGAATGTTGCTGACAGAAAATGACGGTATTACTTTAAATATTATCATTTCTCTGCAGGTGAGCCTGATGCTGAATGGATGGCCGTTGATTTCAGCCTTTGCAGGAGATCAGGATGTGACAAGAGAGGCTGCTAGCAACGGAGTGTTGACCCAGATGGAAAAGGGAGACCGAGCCTATCTTAAATTAGAACGAGGAAACCTAATGGGAGGGTGGAAATACTCAACTTTTTCCGGATTCCTGGTGTTTCCGCTTTAAGTGAAAACAACGTTGTTTTTCCTGAACCCTATACTGTCACAGGAGGGTTAATAACTTTTTATTTCCCCAACAGCGCAAATGCGTCCCAGAGCTAGACAGAAAAATTAAAGGGACAGTATCCCATTTGGTAGTCTGTATTTATAAGCAACTAAGTCAATGCATTTCAACTCATTCAGAATATATCACATATTTCATATACGAACTAGATCGACGGTCACTTTTTTTAAAATTAGTATGTGAAACAGTTACCACTACAAAATACATTGGATGTTTTTCGTTTTAGAAATGGAAGGTTTTATTTTAGAAAGTACAATCCTGTAACTTAATTTTCACAGCATTAGCTTTACAGCCTGGATAGGCTGCCAAATCGAGAATACTGTCTAATACGTTTGTCAGGAACAGCTCTGTTAGGTCTGGTTGCCAAAACGATACTATCTCTTCAAAAGTGTATGAAAGCAGAACAAATGCTTACCTGTGCCTGTATATGTCTGCTATGCGGAATTTTAGAGACGGTTGCAGCCCCAAACGCAGCATATATTCTATTTCTTTATTCGCCCTTGTATTTCTACACCCTATAGATACAGTGTTATCAATTCCGTTACAGAAGGTTAACAGTCTATATAACCAAGCATAAACCTTATAACGGAATTCTGGTGATTTTGATCTAGCCAAACAAGGGCGGTTAGTTGTGTTTCAGTATTTCGGTGTATCCTGGGTTTATTCTGTGGAGGCTGCTATGCGTTCTGATGCATATCTGTCGTTTTTGTTCCAGTATAATGTGGCCATATTGAACGGCAGAAATATTATGAAAAGTTTATCACTGTAATATATGTGTGAATATTTATAAAATTGAATTTTGCTTTATTTCAATAAATTTTAAATGTAACTTTTATTTTTGTTAACCAGAAATCATGGTTGGTATGCATATTTTATTCTGACGAGATAGCTGAGAGTTCACACTGAAACAAACCACAACGGGAGATAGCAAGAACTGCAGATGCTAGAGTCAGAGACAATACAATGTGGAGCTGGAGGAACACGGTAGGCTAGGCAGCAGAGGAGTAGGAAAGTTCTGAAGGGTCCCGACCCGAAATGTCGACTTTCCTACTCCTCTGATGCTGCCTAAGCCACAAAGGGAAATAGATTCCGCCAGATTGTTCTAAAATATCAGGACAATGTTTAGTCACTGACAAAATCCCTTTAGGAAATCGGTTTGATAGAAGAAAACATACATTTGCAGAGCGAAATTAGTCCTATATAAGCTGTGGAGATATTTTGTGCCAAGGTCACACCTATTTGTGTGCTCCAGTATTCAGTAATTTGGACATTTCTTGTGTAAACGCTATAATTCAACTCACTGTTACTGCTGATGTAGAAGGTGAAGACTGGCGCATGACTGTTTGGTATGCCTAGTAATCACCGTCACAATCCGGCTCGGCGTGGTGACTGGAGTTGTTTTTGAAACAAGTGTCCTGTTCTGGTGAATAGGAACAGGTACTGAATTACATTTAAATTTCCTATTTTGATAGGATCTCGTGGACTGTGCGCTTGTGGGTTTAAATTGCCTTTAATTTGGTTTAAATCCACGACTCTTGCATAAACGTGCGTTGGCATTGTTTTAAGGAGCCCGCAATTGTCTTCACTCATTTGTGCTACATTGACACACGATAGTCTTCATATTGAATTAACAAGCTTTTAAAAAGCACAGCGGCCGTTTTGCAGAAGTATGTGAATTAACTTCAATTTGCAGAATATTAGCAAATCTCGATATTCTATCCTCCGAAGATTATTTAATTTCAGTTTGATTTAGTTCAAAGGAACCGTTATTTAAACGCGAATTCGGACTCAGCAATAATTTGGATGTTTATTTTCCGTCGCCATCAGGTCTGGTTGTATTTGTACAGCTGACCTGAAGCCACACCTATTCTAAATTGTTACCATGCAAAAAAAATCCAGAAGTAGAAGCTGACATTACACATTCATTAACTACCCAAGGCTTGTTTTTATTAAGATATCTTTTGATGTGAAATCTCAGTCATGCCAGTGTTTAAAAAAAATCAGAGACAGGACTGGGAGCACCAGGCCTGACTGCGGTTAATCTGAGTAACTCCCAATTCACTGCTGCAGTGAACAGCTTAATTAGCTCCTGTGGGGAAAATTAACACTTACATAATCAAAGATGCAGTATTTGCAGCTGTATTAGTAAGAAAAACCTGATCTCCGCATAATCACCCCTTGGAAGCATTGTTAATTTATTTGAGATGAACAGGATTCTGCTTTGATGAATAGCATAATTCCGTTTTGATTTTACTCCTTTTTTCCCCTATTTGGCTGTGATCCACTGGATTTAGGAGGCGTCTCTATTTCTCGATAGTGCAGACCAGGGTCTTAAGCAAACTGTAGTGCGTTGCTTTAGATTCGTGCTGCACCGTTGTACCGACTTAACAGGGTTTTTCCTCAGACGTATAAGCGCCGGGGGTGGGGGGAGGCGGAAATCATATGTAAGATGCACTCAATCATTTACCAAGCCGGTGGCCCGCAATCCGCGCACCTATAGGACAGCTGCGATTGGAGACGTCTCAAATTTCAATCCAAACTTTAGCCAGCCAGCCCGCCCCTGAGTTCGCTCGAGCGTTGCCTTTTCCCTGCCCGTTAGAGCAATTTCATCGTTAAAGTTTATTTTTTCTCTTTTAACCGCTCGCAGGTAAATGCAGTTTCATCCCCACACCCTGTCTGGAAGTTAGGTCTCTGGTGACAGACGTTAATAGAAACTTTACATTGAGTTCATCATCCGGTTTTTACAGCAGGGAACCCAGAGAAACGGTGCGCTGTGACTTCCAGTGAACAGACCGTTATGTAGAGTTTGAGTTTGAATGTTTACGGAAGGCAACCTTTTTAAATGAAATCTTTAAATAAAATTGTCATTTAGCTATTTTCAGCAGGACTAAATCATAATTCATCATTCGGACATCCTGTTTCATGAAAACGGTGTAACGAGGCCATCTGTTCGTTAAATTCAGTTCTTTTGGAGGAGCTAATATCCCAGGCTAACTTATTTAGCTGTTCACGTTAACCGCAAAGTTAAACATTGTTATCGTTTAAATCACAAGTTGCAGCCTACGGTTTGTCTTTAAACTGAGATTTATCAACTTATCCTCGAGAGCCCACTCAATAAATAATCGAAAAACCGCATCTATCAGAAATTTGTGACGAACTTTATCTTGTATCGAGGGAACAAATGACTTGCAATTACAATGTTACAATGCAAATCAGTAACTTCAACCACGGTATATAACTTGGAAAAATGAGATTTTTTTAAATGTAATGCCTGAATCTGAGTTTAGAACTTTAGATAACGTTGTAAAATTCTAGAGGACTGAGGGAGTCAATGTGACTGGTTTAATTGACTCACGTTGTTTCAACTAGTTTAATTATTTCGAATGGGGAATGGTCAGAATGCCACTGACACGCCTTCAACAAATCCAACAGAATAATAAGCACGGTGACACTACCAATATTAAAAGTTCAAAAACAATTCTGCATTATTAAATAAAGTCATCGAGAGTTTAGCACTACGTTTTTGGACAAGTTCTATCTTAATGTTCATCTTTACCAATTAAAGCTTTTAAAACAGTTACTTTAACTTAACATAACTCTCCTGCCTGTAATGGTCTCCAGATTTGGACATTTGAACTAACTCAGGATTTTTTTTCGAAAAAAGTTTGGTTTCCTTGTATAAAGACTATTGCTGGTAAACAGTGCCCTTTTGGAGACATGTTAGGACATTTTTGTGGTGAATCTGCGGCAGATACACTTTGCAAAATGACAATTTTCAGCCTGAGTTCACAGCTTCGCGCAATGTCAAAAGGGCTTTGTGTCCTGTGTTGTTGCGTGTTCCGTGAATGCGCAAATACACGGATTAAATAACCAACATACACTTATCCACATTGTTGCAAACATTTGCTAGTTGTAAGCATATTCTTAGCTCCGTCTAACGCTCCCATCATGAGAATGTGATGCTGTGTAGAAAGCTTGAGGAAAAAAAAAGTGGACTATGGATCTCAGGTGGAGCACGTGTGACAACTGGGTTTCAGAAGTAGTGATCAAACCTTTTAGAAGTGGTTAGTGGCTGTAATCAAACGCTTTGTTCATGAAATGAAATGCAAGTCAACACGTCTCCGAAATGCAGCTGTTGGTAATTGAGGAAAAAAACGGTAGGGTTGGTCATCAATTACCCAATTCACAAAGCCCACATTTGATACAGAACTTAATTTACGGGTAGGATGGTTTATGATGTAGTTATTTTGCTGCCTCTAGTTTATAATAATTCTGGTGATGCCTAGAGGTCAGAGAAAATATCGAGCCTTGTAATCGCAGTGTGAAACATTTTGATAAAAATGTCACAATATTATTTCACTTTTCACTTCAAATCCCGAAATACACCTCGCTTTAAGTAATAGGTTGGAGTAACCCACTACCCATGACCAGCAAATGGCTTTATTCACAGGGGCAGAGAGTACAAGATCAAGGAGGATACGATGAATTTGACGCCAGTTAGGTTTCCTCTGGAGTCTTGCTTTCTGTTGTAGATGTACTTTAGAAAAGATGTGAACGGATTGGAAAGAATGTAGAAAGGATTCAGGAGAACGTTCCTAGTCCCTAATCCTACGAAGTCGATCAGAGCAGTTGGGATTAGTTCTTTAAGAGAACAGAGGCGGTTTTGTAACTGTGTTCAGAATCAAGAAGATTTCGACAGAGTAGACATAGGCGAACTTTTTCTACTGTGTCGAAAAAAAATCAACAACCAAAGGGTGCAAATTTGGAATAATCTGAAAAGGTACATGAGAAATATCTCCACATAGCGAGTGGTTAGTTCTGGCATGTACTACCCGAGAGTGTAGTGGGATATTCAGTTGAAACATTCAAATGGGAATTAAACTTCTCTGAACAGTAAGAATGTGATGATTACAAAAGGAAAAGCATGATATTAATTAAATTGCTCGTTGGGAGAACCAGTGCAGACTTGCAATTGTCATGCGATCGAGAGACCGGATGGTCTTTTTCTTCCTCCGAACAATTTAGTCTGTGAAATGAGGCACCAGAGCGCACAGGGGAAAAATATACAAGAGGCTGTTAACACCTCCTCTTTCTCTCCCCCCACCCCCAAAGACTTAGTGAGCGTCTGAAAAAGCCAACATTCAAGATTTGAAACATAGGTCTGACAGCATCTGCTGAGAGAGACACAGAGTTAACATTTCGAATCTGGAATTACTTCTTCAGAAGCATTCACAGTTTATTTCGGATTTCCAGCAACCGCAATATTTTGCCAACGTTCAAGATTTGATTGGTTTGGTCTCTCCCCTTGGATTTCCTTAGCACCGCTTGACATTTTGTCCCCAAGAAGGCCATACTGATATCAACAAGTTAATGTTCAATCCAACAGAAAGCTCAAGGTAATCCACAAAAATGAAGTTTCAACAAACGTAAAACAAAACTTCCAAACTATTTTGCAATCTTATCCTTTGCAAGTTTAAATCAACTCTTTACAAGAGAAACTGCGGACGATTTAGTCGCGGGGAGGGTAGACCCCCTATGCTGTGGTTGCCCAATGAATCTTAAGTATTTCTGTGCAGTTTGCAGCGAGATACCTGAAGGGAAAAGGGTCGCCGTCGTCATTATAGTCCTGCTAACGCCCAGCATACTCAGGGTTAATGCAAAATACCAGGCTCATTGGAGTAGAAAACTGGCATTCTGACGCTGTTCATTCTGGTTCAGTTTTAAATTTAACAAGGAGCTTTCTTAAAAACAAAACACAATAATTTGATCACCCGCCCAAACAAAAGGCTATTGCATTCTAATTCCGAGTATAAACGGCTGATCTGTGTAGCACGACAGTGAATTGAAATAGTGCCAGGGATTGACATCCAATCCATGGCGACTGCAGCGTCCGTGGCAACCGGCGGGGACACCAAGTTCGGCGAAGTTTCCATTTGCAGGCCCTGGGTCAGAAAGTACTGGGCTTTGATTTAGGCTGAACGATTCCCAGGCGGCGAGAGGCAAGCGATCAGCAGTCACAACAACAAGAAGAAGCCCGGAGCAGGAGCGAGAACCTTGTGCTTGCTGCAAGGTCACGAATTTAGTTGTAGCCCAGGAGTGGTGAGTAAGTTTGCAACTGTCAGAGTTTACTGGGCTGCGTGATAGCTATCTTGTCCCTAGCTTTTTGTACATGTTGATATCACAGAGCCCATGCCGAGGAGTCTGTTTTGGAGTCAAATCGGCCTCAAATTAGGTTTTAAAAAAAGACTAACTCCACCTCCCAAAACGGCTGGATCTTGGATCTTGGAACCTGCCCAGACACTTTAATTCCATCACGTTTGTGCTTGGATACGGCGCCTCGTTTTCTTTTTGTTATTCGTTTGGTCAAGGTTTACAGCAACTCTCGGGTCATGTAGGCTGTAAAATACGTGCTTGGA